GTTCGTGCGTGCTTGTGTGTGTGTGCGTACGTGTGTGGGGGGGATTGGTAAAAATGTGTGTATGTGTCTGACGATGACGAGTTTGTTCCCACTTGCTTAGCCATGTTCATGTGTGCATCTCCGTCACACACGCACACAGAGACAAAACGTAATTTATTACTGGTTCGTTTTGTTTTGTTTCTCATTCGCCGCGCACCTATATTTGGTTGGTCCGCATGGTATTTTCAGTACAATGTCTTTAGATTTCACATTTCAATTTAAGTGTTTAATCATCTAGGTTTGGTTTGTTTGCATGACATCTTCACGGCAATGTCGTTTGGCTGGTTCTCGCTTGGTTCACGTGCTATACGTTATTGGTTGTGCGTATTTACATAAGATTTCTCAGCTGCGGGCACTGAAGCTAAACGAAAAAATGATTAAAGTTTGAGAACATGAGGAGTAAAGCCGACTGGTCATTCGTTCACTACAAGAGGAGCGTATAGTCGATATTACACATGAAGCGCATTTAGGTATTGTGAATAACTATGGCTATGCTTTCCTGTGATGCACAGGATAGTGGAAACGAAAGGTAGAAACGTGCGTACCTTGTCAAGTTGCTGCACCCATCATGAGCAAAGAGCCATTAGAACTAGTTTTACTACTAAGAAAGTCATTTGAAGTTAAAAATACGGCAAAAATACCAGATTTTCACCGCTCATTATCTCAGCGTAGGGGCATCGTAGGTACAAGCGGTTTGTTTTATATTAGCAAGGTAGGACAGCTGTTCAATAATACCGCAAAGAATCGTCAAAATAAAACGGGCAAAGTTTTTTAATTAGACTAATACTGCAACATGGTTTCAGCATTTCACCGTTGTACGCTCTCCTTCTTTATACGTGCTTGATTATAATAAGCACCAACTATTACTCAGAGTCACTCATTAACTTAATCATGCTCCTAAGCTGGGTATTTGAGGCGAGAACACATGAGCCCAAAGTCAATATTGTGAGGTGACATTTCAGGAGAGTGAGAGCCATCTATTCTTCCGCGCATCGCTCTACATCATGAGAATTTTTCGCTTACCTGGACCAAAAGGATGACTCTTGAGCTGGACTTTGGCCACGTCCAGCTTTGACGCGGTCATTATGCTGCATCGCTCTTAGCCGAGAATCACTGTTACGGCCACCAAGTATACTTTCAGCAAGCACTTCTAACGTGAACAAGTGTGTCGTAACACAAAATGACATCGGATATTTCAAAATCTAATCAGTAGCACGCGTTAGATTTTTCTGCACGTATAACTACGTAACGCTTTCCGACAATTCGCAATCCCTTGTCATCATATTGCGGTATAACACACACATATAACTCCGACGTCCCCCCCACGGATGTTGTTACCGATGTCGGTTAGCAATATACGGCGAACATGCTCCCGCATCTCTTACGCCGGTAATCAATTAGTAACGAACGTAACCCAGCGGTTTCTGCGCTTGTAATTCATTTGGAAATGACACCGCCGCTAATTATACAGCATTTTCGTGTTCGTTCCGAATGACCGATGAGTTAGCGAAGCAGACACGTAATGGCCGGTGAACACCAGCAGCAATTGTCTAGAGAATGTACCCGACATCACGTATATTTATTAACGGTCAATGTAAATACCTGTGCAAAAACCGCGTACCGTTCGTACACGGTAAGTACATCAATAATACACATAACACGGGAAATCAGCCGCAGTTACTACGAGTGTGCAAAGAGGCTGCTAAACTGTGGCATAAATAACTGCTAAAAACAAATGCAGTTGTGTTATAAACTCAGCTTGGTAATAAACTCGGGTCATGGAACGCAACAATTCACAACCCCAGTAATAATAAAAACGAAGGTTCACGTAGAGTGCTAATGACTCTCCGTTGGCAACGAAATGGAAAAAATGTTAAGAGGTTGAGAAGTGTAGACATTACGGCAATTTGCTCAAACCGCTGCAACAACTGACTAACGAGTAAACAACGCCGACTGAAAAATCACTAGCTACACGCAGTGTGACTAACAGCAGTCGTGTATATCTGTTGGGGCTGAGAAGTCACTATAACGCTCTCGTATTTATACCAGCGCTAAGACACGGCTAACTAACGACGCAATGTATAACGTACGTCAGTGTATGTGACGCCATGTCACGTCATCCCACCTTTGCGGCTTCGACCGTCTCCACCGGACTTTGTTACACCATTAGCGCATGTCTGCTCACACCGCGTATTGGTATTGGCTTGTATTTGGTTAATCGATTTTCGCCTTGGGAAGCAGCGCACCGAGAATGTGACCGAGAAACATGCTTTTGTATTTTGATCGAATGCTAGCTGCGCGGGGAATAAGGCCGTGTCTACATGTCTTTGTTGACACCGGAAGAGCTCCTTAACTCCTAAAGGCAGTTGTGGTTTCTCAGTTATCATCGGTCAGTTATGAAAACACATTACGTTAACCGCATACAATGAACTGCGTTTTGAGAACGAAATATTACGTGAGAGCGTGGTACGTATTGCGTATATTACGTGAGAACGATTACGTGCACCGTGAGTGGATGGATGCGCGCTCGTGTGTGCGTATATGCGCGCCCGTGTGCGCCCTTGTGTGCGTACTTGCGTTCGTGCGTTCGTGCCTTCGAGCGTGCGTACTTCTTCATAGCATTTCTTTTGCATGTAGATCCTGATCCGGATATAATAACACCATTTGTTATACGGCTGTAAGCAATACCGCATTGTAATTGTTGCATAGTACGTCAGGTGATGTTATTTATTTAGATTATATTAGATAATATCACTGATAATATAGATGTTATTACATTAGATTATATTTAATTTTGGAGTCACGCCCGCATGGTAGCTCCCGCTAAATTGAGGCGGCTCATCCCGGTCCAAGCCGAACATCTAGGCATTACTATCGAGGGACCTGTCCGGTGTCCCATACCCGATAATATTCAATGTTGCCCCCGTGGCGCGCCGCCACGGCGAACAGCTATTTTGATATACATTTTTCTATCGCCAATGGTGAGACTTTAGGCAATGACGTAGAGCCTATTCAGATATTACAGTACATAGGTTTTATATATAACAAAACATGCATTATTATGTGGACACTCGGACATTAATAATTGTATAATTTATATTCACGTATATGCACATATTTCATTCTTGACATATATTTGATTAAGTGATTAATATAACTATTACATGTTGCCGTAAATAGCATTAGCATGTTTTAATGAAAACACGGAAATTGGCTTAATCGTTTATTCCCTGTCGCGTTGCTGCATTCATCGTCTGCATTCATCATGCATCATTGTTTATTGCTCATGAGTATAAGTAATGAACGGGCAATACGTTAAATCGGCCGGATTTTTGACTTCAAACTAGTTGAAATACATTTTACTAGGTAGGCTTCGCTGATAAGTTTAGTACTGAATTGGGAGCCTAGTGTCAGTCGGTCATTATGGCTAGCTTAGCTACATATACGTAGCAATGAGTAGGTTTACGTACAAATAACAGGAATAACGAGCGACGCTCTCCGACTGTATCGCATAATCTACATTAGCAAGCATGAGTAAATTACCACCGGCAGGATATGACAGGTGCCCTCATAAACTAAGCAAAAGTAATTAGGGACATCGCAGGCGGGAAATACTAATCATAAATGTAGTAATACGCATTTAATCGCATTACGCATGCAGTCGGATATCTAAAGGCCAAGCCCGCCAAGTCTTCGCATGCTAATCGCATGTGAAGTCGAGTGTACCGCGAATACATTTCTTCTAATCCGAGCATTGTTTTTTAATCACATATTACATCGATCTTAGAGGCATATTATTATGGAATTTTATACCAATCAGAAGAGTTATAGCTTAATTAACCTAATTATACCTCGTGGATTAGATGAGACTGCATTCCTGTTGAACTATTGTAAAATGTTCATAGACATTTCGATACAATTCACGCGCCTATCTTGAGGAAGTAGCGTTTGATGTGCTCTGATAATTTCTCCGCCCACCGTCCGGTTGATACCATGGTGACGACCGCTATATATATATACAGTATATATATATATACAATGTAACACATAGTTTCATTTGTTATTATTTTATGATTAAATGCGATTATTATTATTATTATTATTATTATTATTATTATTATTATTATTATATTAAAAAGGACTGCTTGATATCGCGATTTTTTACTCAATTAAAATGGGGTCGTATGGGTTGGCCTTCCGTAGCAGCCGAGATGCTGTATATATGCGGGCTTAATATATGCGCGTTAAAAGTATAAATATTTTTTATATGAGCATTTACAAACTGCAACATACACATGATCCTTGGATAGGGCGCACCAGCATAGATGTGATATTCCGCTTGCCAGGAATACCATTCGACACTACTATGAGAATGTTATCGCAGTAATATTAAGGGAGATATAAAGGTGATAGCGGCAATAAATTCTACCTCTATCGCAGATAATTATTATATCAATATGCAAAGGTTCCTACATTAATTATATCTACTCTATTTATACGTTGTGGATTTTGCACACACACACACACACACACACACACACACACACACACACACACACACACACACACACACAAGCACAAACACGCATGCCTACACACAATAATAATAATGTTAATAATGATAATAATAATAACTATTTCGATTCGATAACTATTTGTGTTATAAATTTTTGCATCTTTTATTTCGCATGCATCTCGTTCCATATAGCGATAACAGTACAATTTTATCGTTCGCTCTGCATGCACTTTTAACCACTAGCAGAAATTACCGCTCCTATATTCAGTATAATAATTTCGAGACCTTTGCATCACGACCAATCGGCTACTCTTACCACAGTTCCAACTAGTAAAGCTAGGTTCTAATGACGCTACACGCGTTCTGTGAGGGCCAGCCACTACTGGTTAACTACGATAACTCATCTGAATTTACATTTCTCACTTTTCATTCTCTTACATTTCAGAATGGAAATACTGCGTTGCACTTGGCAGCCGAGAACAACCATCCACGTATAGTCACCGTGCTTATTGAACACGGTTGTGAACTTAACCCTCAGAACTGGGTAAGTGACAATTACCAGCAGATCGCTATACTTTTAAATCTCCCAAAGACGTGCCTGTGAAGCGCGTGGTATAGGCCTATAGCGCAGTACAATAATCATCGAATACGAAATTACGTACAATTAACCATTTTAATAGTGTCGTTTGCCTGTCTTTCGTTTGCTAGTTAATCAGTATGCGCGTGTTTGGGAATATTTAAAGATGCAATAGAACGAATTTCCCTTAAGTCGCCTCATTTAATTTAACATGTAATTCTCTATGGGCGTTGAATACAGCTGCGTTGGTCAGCTCGGCGCCGGCATTTGTTTATATTTATGCAAAAATAGCTCAATTATTCTACGCGTCTGAAAAGATAACCGTCATAGTGGAGGTTCAAGGGCGATCTTATGGTGGTGTGATGGAATTTGTGTTCTGTCACCCACTCGGTCGAACTGTCTGTTTTTATCAGAAACGGGAAGAAGCAGCGTGATCATAGTGAAATGTCATCGTGTGGTTGTATGAAACACTGTAGATTCGTAGATTATTACTCGTTCGTTTAGAATAGCGCTCTACGTGCATTCTTATACACATTATTTACTTATATCAATCGAATCGAGGGAATCATTGCTCCGTCCAGAGAACAAATACTTTCCAGCAACAAAATGTTGAACTCAATCGGTTCAACGACGTTTTGCGTGTCGCTGCAGACACTAAAGCCCGGCGCACACGTGAGTTATTTTACTCACGTGTGCGGCGGATTTTCGTTGAGTAATTTGACTCATGCGTTATTTTACTTGAGTAAAATAACTCACGTGTGCGCCGGGCTTTACGTACATGCACTCATGCACGCACGTACGTCAATTATTTTACTAATTATAAATTATTTTATTTTATTATTAGTAAGATAATCTTGATCAGAACATAAGGCTGTAAATGTATTTAGATGAGCCTCTGGTGCGATTTCCTGTTCTCACAATTTTCACAATTTTCTGGGGGTAAATTGGACCCCCCCCCCCATCCCCCGCGCCTTCTCGCTCAACACATTATGGGCGCGCAAGAGCCACTCTTCTTTCTAAAATGACGGATCCGCCGTTGATGGTAGTACATTTCTTTGCTAATGCGGCGCATGAAAGCGCGGCCAATAACTATTAGGAACAACTGTTAGAAGAAATAAAATATTCTGGAGCACAGTCACGTTCCCTCGAAGCGCACTGTATCTCTTCACTCAAATCTGCTCGGGATCGAATGTTATGTATGGCTTATGATTTGATTGGCTGTCATATCGAGTCTCACAACACTATGGTATTGATTGTCATGGCAGGAGCAGAATTACCCCTGCGCGCCGCTACGCAGTTAAAAACGGCGACTGTCGAGAGATTTCTTTTGGCTAACTCGAATAAATATGTCAACATGATGTAGCGAGGGATTTTATTGACGTTATTGGTGCAAAGGATAGGGAGGAGAACGAATCCATTCCGTTGCGTTTGCTAAATGTTTGGCGTGTGTCACAATGACTGCTCAACTGTAACACGAGTATTAGCGATGTCTGGACGTGGGGACGCTTGCTCACTCTGAGTGAATCCCCGAAGGACTCAGGAAATTAGTTCTGACAATGATGCCAATGCCTAATGGCTAACATTGTTAACCCTCCTGGGTAATCAAACTAAGAGTGCCGTGTACTAGCGATGCTTACGATGCGAATCATTAATTAAGGTAAACAAAAAACCCTGGCTGTGTTGCGGCAGTACAATTCCACACTCTAATACACGCTGTCAACATTCAGCTGTGCTACGGCGCTTCTACATTTGCACCAATCCGGTCTGCACGCGAATATTCCCACGCAACGCAGGCATACACCAAAAACATACAGCGCACTTTTTCACATCGTCAAATTAAGCTAATACATTCGGATCTATATGTAAAGGCCACCCTGGGGAAACGCTAATTCAATGCAATATAAAATAACTTATTAGCGAACGTAGAAGAAACAAAACTTTCAATTTTTACACAACAGTGCGGCGAAGGGCGAATTTACAATGACGTCTTTGCGTCGGAGTTACGTAGTTATTAGGTAGATTTGGGTGAAGAGTGGCTCCTCACAGCCGGATTATCCTATAATGTACGGTGCAGGACAGTCCTGATTAATCGCTAATTAATACTAATTACTAATTATTAATTAATTAACTAATTAGTAACTAATTACTAATTAATGATAATACTAATTAATACGCTAATTAATACGACACATACAGACTCTCGTGTCCCTCGTCTCTCTCTCGCGCGCGCGTCTATCTTGCTATAAAGGCCACAGATACCTAGGCCGTTTACCTACGTTAGGCCCCTCTACACACGAGTATGTGAGCACACAAGTGTCCCTATGTATGCCTGGCACGCTGTTTAACATGTCAGTTAAGTTAGAGTTAGTGTTAGGATTGAGCACGCACATTCACTAACGTCAAACAGATATAGCCATATGATATATAATTATAATAATGTTATTTTTTCATTTGTAGAGAGATCAAATTCCACTCCATCTTGCCGTCGAAAAGGGACATACTATGGTGGTCGAAGCCTTACTGAAAACGGGCGTGAACGTTGATGCCAAAGAAAAGGTAGACTCCTGGTGAAACCAACTGTTTAGCAACGAATAGAAAAGCGATTAAAATTAATAATTTGAACATTAATATCGAAATGTATCTGACAGCTTGATATATAATGTAATAATGAGTTTTCTACACTTATTTATGGTACATTATATCATTATGCCTCGCCTATAAGCTAACATAACCAGGTAGCAGCTCACCTACAACGCGCAAACGCACACGCGCACGCACGCACGCACGCACACGCAGATACACGCACGCACGCACGCGCATAAACAACACTACCGTAACTGCATATATATATATATATACGTAAATAGTATAGAAACGGTCATGGGTTATTTAGATAATTCAGTAACAGGTGATACGCGTAATGGTGGGAGTAATTTATGTAATGTCATCAATAAACATACCACGACTAATATAACGTTCATCCCAGCAGTGCGTTAATGAATCAATGTGCTGCAGCACTAGTGAGAGTAGAGTACGTGTATAGTTAACGTCCCTTATAGGGCCCCAGAGAATCAATTTCAATCCACAATGTAGTATGTCTGATATGCTAATGAGCATCATATTTCGGGTTACCCTATATAGGTCATATTCGTCATTCATATTAATTATGACGCGCTCAAAACACAATACGTCTATATATTCGGCTATGCTCTCATAGCTTGGATATGCTATTACGGATAGAAGAAAAGAATAGCAGAGGGGTTCGCTATATAGTGGTCGATATACGGCTCTACATAGTGAAGTGAGTAACTGGGTCATCAGAAATAAACGCGCTTACCAACACGTACCTATCTCCCCACCATTCTAATCTAAAGATCTTATTATTGACTTCTTATCGTGGAATCGCGGGTCTTGGTCAGTCCATATACGCTATAGCTTTTCCGGCAGATTCTAGCTGAAATGCCACATTCATATGATCCTCTGCCACTCGGTAAAACAACACTAGTTAATTAACATTAAGTTTTCTATTTCTGAATAAATAGCAGGTATCGACCTGCGCATGCACGTCACGTATTGCTATCGATCACTTGGCTGTTGTTACAGGCGCTTGTCCGTTGAATGGGCCATGAGTGTTACAAGTAGTTATGGCATCATAAGTCTGAATGTAGTTTTTAAGTGATCATGACATGTCGTGCAAACGTTATGACGTTTTTTAATCGCGATAGCCGCAGCTGCTTGCAGATTTTCTTCTGACAGCGGCTCCCAGAGCTGTAAGTGAATGCTAATTAACACTACCTGTTATAGTCGTGGATAACTGTGATAGAGTATATACCTCCGTTTGGTTTTCAGATAATAATTATTGTTTATTTTCAGAATGGCAGAAGCTCGTTATACATCGCAGCGAGGGGAAGCTTCGTAGCTATAGTTGATATGCTCATCAAAGCAGAACGCGACTCCGATGCCAAATTGGTAATCAATAAGAGTAAAATCCGTAAAAATGGAAGTCCGCTTTAGTCCCGTTGCACTGTCACTATGTTTTATGCGCATAGCACAATGTTTCTGTAGGCGATGCGATACTAAGATCATTGTATTGCCCTTCGATTTCCCTTCACGCAACGGGTAAGAGGAGAGATAAAGGCGAGAGCAAATGAACCGAGAATGAATTGCCGGTGCAAAGAAAACCCGAACCAATTCATTACCAATTTAAATATTGTGTAGGTAGAGCAGTAGAGTAATAGAGCAATATTATGTGGATATATAAATTTATCAGTCAGACGCTCTTTAATAAAACGTCTGTTTCACTTTTGCACGCGTAGTTATACTGGTTTGCAAGTGTACGAATCTCTCAATTTGTCATGTAGCTTGTTTCCCCTCCTTTTATAACAGACAGTCATACGTGTAAACGGAACAATGCGTCGCATCGCAATCATTAATAATTTCGTACGAGCTTGGCAGCAGCGCGCACGAGGAGTTTCATTATTCATGCATACTGCTTGATGAGCAATTCATTGTTCTGAATCCGAACTAGGAAATTCTCATAATATAGCCGCGCGGACAGTCCCTGGCAGGTGCCAGGCATCACAGCCACTAGCGTTTCAATCCCGTTTCAATATGTATGTGGACGCGACGTAGGATTTTCTCGTTTACTGCCATCAGAATTCTCAAGAGGTTTAAAATTTCGTGTATATATATTATTAGGCCAAATGTAAGCTAATGCACGGCAATGTTTTGTTGGATGCGCCTAATAAAAAAGACTAAAAATTCTCCTCAGATGTGTAAAGAACAGCTAAGCAACAGCGACGCCACTATTCCCGAGCGTTAGAAGCTAGGCTGAAATATCGCGTAGACGAGATTTTTACGTCACCGGCGATGACAAGTATATCCATATAAAACTAACTACTCGCATTTGTGTACGCCTTTTGTATCAAAATACAGGAGAGTGAATGCTGTTCCCGTCTCATACATCGATTGCAGCACGATAACAACAAGCCAGGCTGGTTCCCGCAGGAGGGCGTGGCAAACAATTGTCTCCACAACGTGGACTATACTGATGTAGAGGCAATGCAATCGATCCTCTGGAAGCTAGCTACCAAGCATCTGCATCCCCACGACTGGAAGCAACTTGCATTCCACTGGAATTTCACCGAAGAACAAATAAAAGCAATAGCGCATCAATACACTGGTAAGAGACAAATTAAATCATCGAGCATTTAAATATACGTATATTTAGATTAACGCTTGTGTTTCATGGTAGTGGTAATTGCATGCGATTCATCACTCTAATATATTGATTAGGAAGTGGGTGCGATGCCTTGATGATTCACACATAGACTGCCTATTATTCTCCTAATAACGTTTTGTCGCTGTACCCTGACTCCTGTCGTACATTGAGCTGTAGGTTGTGTAAGATAGTATGTTAATTTATCTATGCCTTCATCTACAGGAAACAAAAGCTACAAGGAGCACGGTTACAGGATGATGTTGGTGTGGCTGCATGGCGTCAAGCCGGAGGACAACCCTCTGAAGCTCATATTTGAAGCTCTGGTTGCTATCGACAGAAAAGAAGCAGCAGGTAGTAACTTTAATTCCTGTTCTCGTGACGACACTGTAGAAGATTTAATCGGTTCGATGCTTGATGACTATTCAAGCTACAGCTAAGACGTGATTAGAACCAGTGTCTGCGTGAGCATGTATGCGTGCTTCGGTGTGCGTGCGTGGGTGCGTGCGTGCGTGCGTGCGTGCGTGCGTGCGTGCGTGCGTGTGCCCATGCGTCATATGTGCGGGCGTCCATGCGAATGTCCATGCGCGCATAGATACGCGCGTGCGTGCGCATGCGGTAGAGAGAGGTAGCGAGAGTTCAAGATATAGAGAGAGAGAGAAGGAGAGGGAGAGAGAGAGAGGAGGGGGGGAGAAAGAGAGAGTGAGAGAGAGAGAGAGAGCGCACAGTTTAATCTACAGAATGGAATACACTATACCGATAATGCAAATACATAAATTACTACGTATTATACCTGCGTAAAATTTAGGATGCTCGCATTAAAATTAAAAAACTTACCACTTATTAACCGTTTGCAGAGCACATACGAAAGAAACCAAACGACCAAGCAAGTGGACAGCAGTTTGAATGCGTACCTAGTTTATGCTGTATCCTATGACATCGGCGGAAATGATTATAACTTTAACTATGATCTACATAAACAATCCAGATTGGTGCCAAAAAACTTTTAAAGTATGTAGGGCAAAACCGTAGCTGGTAAGACAAAAGTCGATGGACGAGGAATATGATATAGATTATATCTAAGCTCTTCCGGTTGGAATGCGGGTAAGTCAAATAACGTACCTAAAAGAGATGATGATTTATACCACCTGTTCATATCCGGTATTTAGTGCGGTAGAAATTCAGTTATAAACGCGTTCAACCAAGCCATATATACTTCGATTAATTCAAATGATGGTTCCGTAAAAATAATATTCCATGAACTCCATGCGTTACCAGTAGCTTCTATATGATCGTGCCTTTAATATTAGATTGTCTCTGACGCACACATATATCTCTAGCAAGAGCACATAATACTATATATTAGCATATGAATATATATATATATATATATATATATATATATAATCAGGAGTGAATAAAAACAAATGTGTTGATTTTTTGTGAACAAATATGTTTGAATTTACCCCTAATATAATAGTGTTATGGGCGCCTGCCCTACGAGTGCACAGAGTTGTCATGTCTGTCGTGTCTACTGTCTTTCATCAGGACAGAATAATAGTTGTCTTATTAAATCGTAGCTCTATGATGCTGAATTCGTACATATGCCCGCGTATAATTCAATCCGTGTCAACTTCCACGATTTAGGCGTGAATGAGCTTATTTGACTGTATGTCACGGTATCACAATCATTACCGTGGCAGACGGGAGCGGGAAGGGGGTATAGGTGGTATAATTTACCATGTATAATATGTCATATTATGACAGGGCATGTAGCGGAAGCAAAGGGGCTAAACTGGTAGAGCTAGCATTTTATTATTCCTCTAATATTTCTCCTTCTCTTCTCAAAAAGACCTACTTCAACAGAGAGGCTCTTCGGTTTACTAAAACTGATAAAAGCAGCAATGCGGAATTTGAAGGGAGTGATCGATTTAATTATTTATTTCGTTTTCTTTAATTTCGTTAAAAATCCATTTTCCGTACGATTCCCATAACGTCAGTGAAGGGATATCGATGTATCGATTCGACATATTATTATGTTAACTCAATTTGTAATGTGTTGAGTCGATTTGGGAATTATTAAATTGACCTTGGTATTAGTAAATAACTTAATCCAATTACTGTGGAAGTGCATTTGTAATAAATGATTTTGGAAGTATAGGTGCTTCGCATACTTCCTTGCTGAAACAGCAAAATGAGCTCATCCGTCGCCAGTTTCCGTGTTCGCATGTTATCATATTTATCTTACTATGTTTTCGTGAGCAGGAAATTAGTCTCGTGCGTAAAACATTTCCAAGAAGTGACACACCCTATGAATTTCGACAGTGACCTATAAATGCAATGTGGGAGAGCTGCAGCTGCATCTGCGGCATAATCACCTCGGGAAATAATTTGTCATGAGCAAGCAATCATGCCACAATTCGGGATTCTCGGGAACATACAGTATGTGTGATGTGCACATTATTTAAACATCGGAATTTAAGCGACCGTTACGTAGGTATATTGGTCGGATAAATTGATATTTCTGCACTCAGTACAAATGTTAGCAAGAAAAACAAAATATATCTGCGCTTGCTTACGTGCATAAATATAGTATTTTTCGTGTTTTAACCATGGTGCTATGGTCCGATGATGTCGTTCCTCCTTCTTGATAATGTCAGTTTAGCGTGGTTCTTCATCCATGGTTTTTCGTACTCGTGTGCTTGTGTGCGTGTGTGCGTTCGCTACGAGAAGGGGTGATCCTGATTGACCTGAATTCTACGAAGCAATTATCATAATATAGTGTGATTCTATAGGAATGCCGAAAGTAAATTGATGAACAGATGGTTAGAATATTAATGAAAGTGATTCATTTGGTAAAAAGAAATTGATGAAATGATGTGATTTACCTTCTATTCTTCATTATTTGTCTATGAATATATATATTCTAATCCCATGCCCATATACAATTAATAGTGTTATTATGTGAATATTTCGATTCTTACCAATTTTTCAAATAAACTTGTAATTGTTATTCAATGTAAACACCCGTTTTTTCTAGTTATTTTTCTAAGTAGAATACCTCCGTCGTTTACCAGATCTCATGCTTCCGTGTACGCAGGAGGTTTGGCCATGCACATTACCTATATCTTGCATGTGTTTACCAGTTAAAGATTTAGAAACTGGTAATCAGTCTAGTTTCTTTTCGTACTGTGTGAACTATTTCGGAGTTTGAGCTGGTCATCTGATCAACTAGAACTGGATACTGTTACTAGAGCTTTGGATTTTCGACAACACAAGTACTGTTTCCAATCGCACCTCAATTCACGATATTTTCGCCGCTTTCTCGCCTCTTTCTCTCATTTACTTCCAGTACGTCTTTAATTCCAATTCAAAAACTAGTTTTTGCGTGTTTATTGAGAGAGAGGGTTAGGACGAGGAGAAAGGGCAAGGAAGCGAGAGGGAGAGAATCCCGTGTGCCCCCCTCCCGCCCGAGCGAGAATTAACGGGGGTGTGAGCGGGGGGGGCCATGAGAGGCCGGAGAGAGTGTGCGGAGGGGAGGAAGGTGTGAGTTGGAGGAGGGATGGAGGAATTCGGGGGTAAATAGTGAAGGAGGTGAAGGGTAGAAGGGAAGATTAAGAGAAGGAAGCAGGAATAAATAAATGGAGGAGAAGGTTGGGAGTTGGTGTGGGGGGTGAAGAGGAACCCTGGAGGTAAGGGGGAGGAGGGTGATGTAATTCAAGACGAATGCGAGAAAAAAGTAAAGGAGTTGAAGAAGGAGGAGAGATGCGGGAAAGAGAAGGGGGAAGAAGAGGAAAATGAAAGACAAGAAGTAAAGTAAGTGCCGAGACACGATGCGATAGAAGTAGGAGCTATTGAGGATGAGGAGAAAGGGAGAGTGGAAGAAATGAAAAAAAGAGGAAACGAAGCTTATAAGAAGAATAGGAATTGAAGATAGTGAAAGTGAAGGAGAAGAAAGCAAGGCGACGAGAGAGGGAATAGAGAGGAGAAAGTAAAGAGATGAAAGGAGGAAGATGAGAATCGATAAGGCGAGTAGAAGGGGACAAATAGAAGAAAGGACGAGAACAGTAAGTAGGAATAAAAGGTTGGAAGGCGAGGGTAGGAGAGAAGGGAAGGAAGGGGGAGAAAGGGTGAGGAGAGGAGGGGATGCGGGAGGTAGAGGCGGAGGAGAGAAGGA